AGAAGTCTCATGTTGATCAATGTTTTGATGATTAGCTCACTCCTCATCAGGGATACCCATGTCGAAGGAAGGTGACCCTCCGTGTTGGGAGGCATTCAGATGATGGTTGATGTCCACAGGGGTAACGAGCTCGCGTGTTTGAGTACGCCTAGTTTCGTGGAGCGTCTCAAAGAGCTTCTCATACTGCTCCTGGATAACCTCATTCTTCATTGTTATCTTGTGTTCTGAGCTTCTAGCTCATCAACTTTAGCTTGAAGAGCAACCCTTTTTCCTTCCTTCTTTCATTGCTTCGCACTAGGTGCAAGAGGGGTGTCATTCTGTGCGTTGTGGCTTCCTTCGTTCCCCATGTTGGAGATGGATGCCTGGTCAAAAGAGAGTGTACGAATGGTGGAAACCACCTTAACAAAGCTGAAGAGAGTGGGAATAAGTGTCGTTCCCACAGACGGCGCCAAATGTTGATGCACAAAATCAGTGGGGACTTTGGTACAACAGAAAATGTTAAGTTTGTGACCTTCGCTAGATTGCTTCGGTCACTAGTATGGATAAGTATGTAAATGGATAGAGACAGGGAAGCAAACACAAGATGTACGTGGTTCACCCATATTGGCTACGTCCACGGAGTAAAGGAGTTCTCATTAATTGTGAAGGGTTTACACAAGTACATAGGTTCAAGCTCTCCTTTTGTGAGTACTAGTGAATGATTTAGTACAAATGACATTAGGAAATATTATGAAAGAATGATCTCTGATTATAGAATAGAGTTTCTAGTTTCATTCTGAAATTGACACGTGTCGTGTTGTGATTGGCTTTTAATCTTGACACGTGTTGCGCTATAATTGGCTTCTGATGTTGACACGTGTCACGTTGTGATTGGCCTTTTGGTTGGAGGGAAACTCTTCTGGGTCCTTGGCGGTATAACGTTGACGGGTGCTCAGTAGTTTCGGGATTGGTCAAGTATGGTACAAACAGATGCCATTTATTCAAACTTGGATAAAGATGTTTCTTCCATCTTGAAGAACAACTCTCGTGGTTTCGGGTATTTGGTGGAGTGGTGCCTTCGTAGAACTCATAGTATTTTTTGGACACACGAGTCCAAACACCTTCACTTGTTTGAGAATTGATGAGTCCATATTATACCATATATTTTACCCTTATCTTAGTATCAATATATTAGTTATTTTGGTAGAATTTTGATACTTTGTTATATATTTTTAATGTAGGATATTCGACTTCCTTTGGAGCAAAAAGTGATCAAATGGATGAATGTTCGTGAGTTTTTCAAGATGATTGTATCAAAGTTTCAAATTTTTCTACCAAGCCATTTGACCGTGGCAATGAAATAAAGGCCCAGCACGCAGCTTTCCTATTTTGGAGGTCAAGATAGCATATTTTGAGGAAGATTCCTTCTGAGGATTTGTAGGGCACGTCTCCAGCTTTTAGAAGAGACCTTTTGGGACCAAATCAGAGTTGGTTTGTTCAGTCAAAAGTCTGATTTTCTGAGAAGTCCGAATTTCAGTTTAAATAGGAAACCTTTTATTTTCTGTTTTATTATTTTATTATGTTTCCCAGTTTTATTCTAAGACTTTTTAGGGTTTTATTTTGTAGCAGTATAAATAAGACTTTTTAGCCATTATGAGGAAAGGAAAGGAGGAAACGCACGCACAAGCCTTTAACAATTCAAGTTTATTTTCTAGGTGATTTCTGTTCTTATTCTTAATAATATTTTATTATGATTGTTTGTAACTAGTTCTTTTGCTAGGGCGAAGCCACAAGCCTTAGCATGAATGTGTGACTTTATTAATTTGCTTATGAATGGATGCATGCTTGCTTTGAATTATTAATCACCGTGATTAAACTATCTAATTATCTAAATGATTCGCAACCATTAGGGTTTTTAGACAAGTAATTTGATGCAATTTATGTTGGAACATCTCCCTGAAATTGAGGATGGCTTCTTGTGATTAGTTATTGTAAGTTCACTTAAGACAAACATCACACTCTTAAAGGTTGCATGGTTTTTTAAGGGGTTTTCACAAAGCTTAATGAGTCTTGCATGTTTATATTTGATCTGAACATCAAAGACGGGTTACATGTTAGATATACGTTTTTGCTTGAACATCACGAGGAAAATATGTATTAGGAAAGCCTAACATTCAAAGCATGTATGTAGAAATTCATAAGTAATTGGTAAAATTGCATAGGATTGTTAATAGTGACGGCAGAACCTAGTGTTTAAATTGTTTTCCAAAATCGTTTTCTTTTGCTCTCTTTACTTTGTTGATTTTAATTGTTTTTATTTAATTTCATTTTTATTATTTTAAATTTCAAAATCAACCTTTTCGGAACTTTGTTTTAAATAATAAGCTAAGGATTAGTTTAAGTACAAATTATTCATTCAATCCCTGTGGAAAACAACCTTGTTTGAGCTGCTATACTACGATAACCTTGTACTCTTACAAGTATTTTTAAGTGTTTTTATCCCTACTTTTGTAGATGGTAAAAACCCTATCAAGAACTTCCCCTCACACTACCTTCCGAGACCCATCTATAAGCCCTGCAAAGAGCTTCATCTTCTTTTCGGGTCCAAACCCTACCTTCCATTGCAGATGAGGCCATTTGAAAATTATTGAAAAATTTGAAGGAAATATTATTGGAAGAGGTAAGAAAATATAAGAATTGAAATGGTGTAGGAATGGTGAAAATTATGTGAGAAAATGGAATGGCTTAGGTATTTATAGGAAAAAAATGAGAATTAAAAAAAAATTCAAATCCAACGGAAACTCATGTCAGCTAGCCGTTGTATTTAAATTTTGTGGCCCGGCCCGGGCTAGCTGGCTGGTTCATTTGGGTCAGCTGGTTGGCCCTTTGGCACTTTTTTGTCCAGTGGGGCCCACGAGCCCTTTGGCTTAACCTTAGGTTGGAAACGGTGTTCGACCTATTTTCAGCCCTCTGGCCCTTTAGTTGGAGATGGCCTAACTATTACACATAGAAGAGAGAGAATGAAGGAAGACAAAGGAGCAGAGCTCCAAATATTTTTGTATTTAATTTCCTTCTTGTAAAATTGATCTGATATATTTGAAGGAGCTTGGCTCCTTTTATATAGGAATAGATCCTCTCCAAATCTCTCCCACCAAGCCATCCAATCTATTAATCAGGTCCCTTGAAATTTGATCCAACAGCTAAAATTATTATAACTTTTAAAGAGACCTCCTGTTTGTAGCCGTTTGATCAAATTTCAAGAGCCCGAATTAATGAATTTCATGAGAGAAATCCGAAAAGGATCTATTCCCCTTTTATATAGCCTCTACACTTTTAAATGTCAGCTGGCATATTAACAATTTCTAACAGTAATAAAGCATAAAACCTCAGTAATATTTTGGGTTCATAACAATACTTCCCCCTTGAAAATTAGCCTTGTCCTCAAGGCTTAAAAATGGAATTGTAGAACTTGGCCTTGAAATCATTATAATCCTTCTAGGTATGGCAGCTTGCCTGAACTAGGTAACTAAGTTCTTGTTTCCTGTAGCCTCTCCATAATTTTCTTGTGACACCTCCTCGAATTTTTCAACCCAAGAGAGATATGAAGATTCATCAAAACCAAAACTGAAACTAAGAGAAGTGGAACTTTCTCCTAAAATAAGAACATGTCCATCCAAAACTTCTATTGGATTGGGCTTAGATTTCATCTCATCATCAATAGCTACTTGTTTATTCAGCACTGAAATTACCTTCTCAGCAATAGCACTTAGTTCAGACACCTCAAGCACGGTTCTTTCGGTTGTCACCCAAAAATGTCATAAGCAAACCCAACCAAGTCTCGAGGTCCAATTGTCATGCGAGCCCCAAGTCAAGCACAAATGCATGCAAAGGTGTTGGATCAAGGAAAATATATATTCACAACCATGCCATGCTACAATGATTAAGCTGGATATTTATATAAATCACTCAATGCCCATGCCTATTCGTCACACTAAAATAAGCCCAAGTCACATGCTTGAGCTCATTAAGTGAATTGTGGTGTGGATGGTTACGGAAGTTTATGTGGAGTCAAGATTATAGAAGACTTTGGACTGTTTGGGGGCCCAAAGATCCAAGCCGATAATCCTTGTAGTCCACGTATCCATCTTGGTAATTGATGGGTATCGAGATCGAGGTGCGTCACTTTAGCTCAAATCAGCGGAGCACTACCCCCATTAGAGTAGATTACTCTTTATCTTTCGGGGGTGGATAGGTGTCGAGAATATAAGAGATGGAGAAGTCAGGCGATAATCACCGTGCCCCTGCCCATATGACGCAATGCTAACGTCATCATGACGTCTGCCAATTTGTGTTTTAAATTAAAATCACATTGGGCCTTAAATAGGCCCATTGTTTATTTTAGGTCCAAACAAAAGGAAGAATAGAATAAATAACCTTGACCTGCAATTCCAAGTTCATGAAGATGGAGAAAACTTATACGTTTGGACTACCAATCTACCACTCATATAGTGGGGTAACAAGCTCTCCAGGCTAGCTACAATGGGAACCAGATCCCATCCGGACCCAAAGGAACTGAGTCTAATGATCAAATGATTAAGGCCATTGAAATTTGATCCAATGGCTACAAACAGGAAGCCTCTCTAAAAGTTATAATAATTGTAGTCGTTGGATCAAATTTTAATGACCCGGATCATTTGATCCTTAGGCTCTGTTCCCTTGGGTCCGGAGGGGATCCGATTCCGCTACAATGGTATACGATGGAGCTTGTTGGCAGGAGGTGTTCTATTGCTTTATTTTATTATTGTTTAGGTTGGAGGCATTCGTATAACCCTAGCTTAATCTGACTAAATAGAACTCATGCTTATATGAACTTTTTGTTGAAAAATCATCGGTTGATTAACAATGGCAGATCGAAGATTCTAACAACAGGTAGGCCCAATGTAAAAGCTCAAAAAAAATTGGACGAAAATAACATTAAAAAATTAAACGATAAATCAATTATGAATTTAAATCAAAACAAATTAACAATAACTATAATCTATTATGAATTAAAACTTCCACACAATACACATAAATTTTAACATTCTATATGATTAATTCAGACTAAATATAAAACTTACTTAAATTTAGAAATTAGGGGATTAAGTGGTGGTGGATATTTGAGAGAAATGAACCATGGTGGTGGTCATGAAGAGGAGGTAAGTGGAGGTGTGCAACAACTGGTGGTGGACTGGGGATCGGTTGGGTGGGGTTAGAGAAAAAAGGGAATTTGAATTGGGAATTACCCAATTAGAGAATGTGAATGCAACATGAGATTTGGTGGAAATATCGGTTGGGAGAAAAGATAATAGAATCTTTTCTTTTAATTAAAAAGGGTCTCCTTCACGCTGGCTTAAGAAGACTCGTTTTTAATTATTTTGCTTTAAATGATTTGATTCAAAACCATGTCTGTAAGCCAGGTGATATTTACTAACAGTACAACAATTTTATCCTCCAAATGCTGCTATCAATCACGTACCCCATCATCAACCACGCATCAGGCTCGTGACATGAAATTCCCAATAACCCCAGCAATCAGAGTCGTTGGATCGCCTAAAACTGCTGATATCACAAATTGCACAGCCAATCCTGCCATCTCACAACACTTCTTCACCTTACCTTTGCTCCGACGGTGATGATTCTGAAGTGTATTCTTCAGGCTAGGAATTCTGGTCATCTCCAATTTTCTACTGCTGTTGCTTTTATTACCATGCGACCCCAAAAACTCATGCCAAGTTTCCACAAGCATTTCCTTCACACATGCCACATGCAAATTATACTCCTTACATTTTGATCTGTAACTCCAACTCCGTCCTTTACGCCCGCACCTATGGCAAGAGCTACTCACTTTTCGATACAGATAGAGCTTGACCTCCCCATCGTCGAGCACCATGGGGAGCTTTGCGCAACACGGGTGAAGGTCGAACCCGCAGGACTTGCAATGGTACACGAACCCGGTTATATCCTTCTCACACGCATTGCAAAAGCGAGGGCTATCACCGGGCGGCCTTGAGAGGAACTGGAATGAGCACTTGGTGTAGAAAGGGTGGAAGATGGAAGGGGTAGGTATGGCACAGTGCATATGGAGGTCGAAGTCACACGTCGAGCACTTGTAGCACGAGCCGATGCCGACCTCCTTGCAACCATCACAGTTGAATGGGATTTCTGTGTACTCAAACTTGAGCTTGTGTTGAGGATGGCTGAAGTGGGATATCTCATTGTATTTCATGGCTTTGGATTGCTAGCTAAGCTTAGTTTTGTGACTTGTAGTAGTAAAAGAAATAAAACCCTTTGGGGAAATATATAAATTAGTGTGATTAATTATGTGTTAAGTAAGGTTCGTGTTAGCTTGTGGTTGAAGCAATTGGAGTTGGAGGGAATTATATGCTTTGCGAATTGCGACGTTCGGCAGACATAAAGAACATGCAAATAGCTCTTGTCAAATGAGAACATATACGAATTTTCTACATTATATCGTTTTGTTCTACTGTAGTTAATTACTTATACCATAATTAAAAATGGATGTGCCTAAAACAGAAAAGTGGAAAGTGAAAGGAAAAACACTCTAATTTTTGGGTTTTTTTAATAACACCCCACAAATTATTGAATACACCCCACTTAATATTTAATGTTAAATGACTTGTATAAAATGACTATTTAAACCCTATTTTTCTCCAAAAAACCTAAAATAAAAAAAGAAGCAATTATTTTCTTCCTACACCCCAAATCATGAAAAATAAAATCCTAAAACTACCCGTAAGTTTATTTATAATTTTGTAGTTTGTACACACCTGCACTCACAATGTCTTGTTATTATGTTTTTTTTATTAACTGTTAAGTATTCTGCAACATAACAGACAAAGATATATACTGAAATATTCAAATCTTCTTTGAGATAGTTTAGTGGTGTTTTTTTTTTCTTTTGCTAAATTTTTTTAAGCATGCTTGCTGTTTATTTCTTAGGATGGGTGGGGTTGCAATATCATTCAAGCATGATTGCAGAACCGAATTTTTAACCTGGGAACAATAGGGTATAAATGGTTTCTGGTAAAAAAATGATCTTCGTGGCTAAATTGGTAGTGGGCATTGAACTTTTCGGATTTGAAATTTAAATAGATTAGTAAATTATGAGCTCTGGTAAAAAAATGATCTTCATGGCTAAATCGGTATTTAAACAAAGCAAGTGAATACCATCATCCCTAACCAAGATGCCAACACATAGTCCCCTACGTTAACACAAGTCACCGAGAGATAGTTCAACATGTTAAATGAAAGCAAAGGAGAAAGCCAAAGTAGAAAAACTATATGTTGGACAAAAAGAAGGAAACGAAAGATTATTCCATGGAAAATAATGAAAACTGCATAAGCAAGAATATAAACTCAGATCAATTTTTATAATGTTTTATTTAAGGTACAGATGCATCGACTAATAGAACTTTAATATAATAAGATTTAAAGAATGTGGGGTGTATGTCAAAATGTAAGGTGTATGTTGAGAATGTGGGGTGTGAGGGTATTATGGAGAAGTATGTGGGGTGTGTTAAGATAATTTTTAGTTGAAAAAGTAAATATGGGATGTATTAAGTATGTGAAGTTTATTTAACAATATGTGGGGTGTTAATATAGTAAGCCTAATTTTTTGTTGAATAATCCATGCAACAGTTGATAATCAAAATTTGGATACTTGGGAATTTTAATTCCTACTTTCTATTAACTCATACATACGAGTTTAAGTTCTCAAATTTATGCAATGTGTATGTAGTTCAGGTGGTTTGGATGAGTGTTCACTTTTGTACTCTAGGTTCATTGCTTGAACCCTCCCCACGAGTATCACTTTCTCTAGAAAAACAAAAACAAAAAAAAAAACAAAAAAAACAAAAAAAAAAAAAACTTTTTAATATTAAAGATATATTTACACTAAGAGGTGAAAAAATAAATTGATATCAAACTCATCATTCGTAAATTTCAAATCTAACTCTCACTTTTATTTTTTATTTTTTTGAAAAAATAAAATATCTCACTTACAAATAAAAAGAAATATCATAAAACATAGTACTAATTATAAGTGGCACAAATGGCTCTTACCACAGTGGTGGAAATGTGTTGAGCTCTTATATCATGGCCTGGGTTCAAACCCTGTTGGTAACTAATTTAATATCTAATCTAACAAAATCTATCATTTGACCAAAAAAAACTACAAGTGGCCAAATTTTTATTTTCTAGCTAACCAAATATATAGTTAGACTAAATAGTGGGAGAGTTTAATTTTCGATAATTCTGGAATTAATAACTATTTTGAACATGGATATGTTAAGAATATTTTAGCCTAGGAATGTAAGAAAGAATTTTGGGGGAATTAATTCCTAGAGGAATCATGCACTTATCATAAACTTAAGAATATCATTTAGCATCTAAAAAGCACGAGCATCATACCTATCAAGGTGATATCCTAGCTTAAGTAGATCTTCTTTTCTTCTAAACTAGCTAGAATAATACTTTGTGTAATGCTAAGAAAACCAAATTTTTAAAAGAAAAACTAATGAAAATAGCTTGAAAACTTTGAGTTTTAACGATAAGGACAAAATAAAGGGTAAAGTGAATAGTACCAGAATTGACTTTTTAGTGTAAAAATGTGGTTTTTTGTTAAAGTAAACAGTACCATGAGCTTTTCATTAAAGTTCCCATTTTTAAACCAAATTTGTAAGCCCAATGATGTGTCATCAATAGGAAATAAACACATTAATCAACACTTCGTAATAATTCAATCATCAACATCCACATTTTACCTAATTTGGTTTAAAATTTTGATATCCCTAACATTATCCTAATACTTTATACAATATTATTAAGTCCAAACTAGTAAATCATCAAACCATTTAGCAATGGATAACTTATAGAATCAACGTCACTTAGTACTACGGTCTAGTGATATTCCTCTTCACTTGTAAGTGAGAGGTCTTAAGTTCGATTCTCGCCAAATACGAATTTGAATCACATTATTGCTAACCCATTATGAGGCTTAACCTTCCTCCTTCTCTTTAGTGTAGATAATGTAGTATGTTAAAAAAATAAAAATAAAATAAAACCCTATAGAATCAACGATTTCACACAATACATCATTAAAGATAAATAAGAATTAATGACACCACTTTTAATAAAAGAAAAACATAAAAGAATATTACTACTTGGTAATTAAGTGTACTTTTCTCACTCACCCTTTTCTTCCAAGAAAGAATGCGTAACGTGGGGGAACCATTTCCCTCTTTCTTAGGACACTTTAATTTTATTTAACCGCACAAGTCACAATTGCTTGTACTTGAGAATAGCTTGGCATGTATGTTATCCATTTGTATCTTCAACTAGTTTAGTGGCTATGAGACCCCACGATTCTCAATGTGATCAATATCGTAAAGAACTTGTTCCCAATCAATCAGTATCCGTACAATTATTGACAAAAATGCATCTCTAAACCAATAACACGATTACACGCAAGTTTTAATGACCAAAGTGCCCTATAAGTTTCATAGTGTCAAATCCGATTGGATCGAGTGTTACTGGATATTGACTAACAAGATACTGAAGAATCAAATAATTCTTGTTAACCAATAATTTCGAGGTAGTTAGTTACTTTCTTTTTTTTTCTTGTTTCCTTTGGCAGGAACATCTGATGTCGTACCCATGTATCCATATCCACTGGTTGAAGTGGTACTTGCAAGGGAGCAATGAATATGAATGTGATTCTTTCTTCAGTTTTTTTTTTTTTTTTTTTTTGGTTAAACTGGGAATTCTCATAACCAGGGCACAAGCCAGTCTAAGTACAACTGAGGGGCAAGCAAAGAAAACAACAAGGGAAATAAACAGATAGAATTTGGAGGAGGAGGGGATAAAGGATAAGACACCGCAATTATTGCAAGCATCACCCCACCAACTCCTAAGCTAACATAGTTAGGTGGGACGACAACACAGCACGTCCTTGTTCCGGATATGCACTCGTGAAGATGGGGGTCGATTGACCCACGTGCAAACACTCATTTCCAGGAAAACGAAACCCTTTTCTCCAAAGACCACACAAGATGATCAGGCATGTGGGGGTCCCCAATATGTGTTTTCTGAATCTCAATCAATTCATGTTGAGCAACAAAGGGAGTGAGGAAATCCTACTCCCAATTGTTAGATTCAATATCAATTAACAAGTTGACGCGGAGGTCCCGACTAACAGGAACGGAGCTACACAGGATTGGGTGTCCAAGAGGCAGAGAAGGGAGCCAACGGTCGATCCATAGCCGAACACTCTCATCATTCATCATTTGTCAGTGGGCCCCCTGTAACAGTATTTCTCGAGCCTCAAGTAGGCTTGCCCAAGAGCTTGCCCTTAATATACGTCAGGGCCTTTTTTTTTATCTGCCCTAGATAAACGGAAGCTCAAGGTACATGACAGGGTCAGAGACAATCAGAATTAGGGCTGGGTACGGGCCGGACTGGGCCCATTTTTGAAGGGACCGGACCAGACCCGGAATTAAAGGAGACGGGGCGGGCCGGGCCGGGCATTACAATTCTGAAAATAGGAACCGGACCTTACCCGGCCCGGTTGAAACGGGCCGGTTCGGTCCGGGTACACGGGTCCTTTTTTATTTTTATTTTTTTTTCCTGTTTAAAAATGTTTGCTGCACACAGATTGCAATTTGAAAAAACTGCACAGATTGCAGTTTTTACACATAACAGATTTCACATATTGCAGTTTGAAAAAACTGCACAGATTGCAGTTTGAAAAAACCGCACAGATTACTGCACAGATTGCAGTTTCTCAAACTGCACAGATTGCAATTAAAAACTGCACAGATTGCAATTAAAAACTGCACAAATTGCAGTTTTTTACTGCACAGATTGCAGTTTGAAAAAACTGCACAAATTGCGGTTTGCATTTTGCAGTGCACAGATTGCACAGATTGAAAAAAAACTGCACAAATTCCACAAATTTCACAGATTCCACATTCCACAGATTGCAGTTTGAAAAAGCTGCACATATTCCACAAATTGCAGTTTGAAAAAACTGCACAGATTGCAGTTTGCATTTTGCAGTGCACAGATTGCACAGATTGAAAAAAAATACGAGCAAAGAAGCTACAGCAACCATTATAGTTAAGTATAGTAATTCTTTAGTAGCCCAGACGGGTAAACAATCATATCATAGAAACTTGCTAATAAACAACACAATGAATCAAAACCATTGATACAACTCACAAACGTAATCTTTAATGTTCACTCTAAATACACTAAAAAATTCTGCTCTTTATACAGAAATCAAATTTGTCAATGTTGTGGAATTGTAACAAACAATTAGTTATGCAATCTAAACTTGCCAATTAATTAAAAATCGCAGATTAGGCAAGGGAAAATGTAATAATCAGCCAATTCGATAACGGTATTTAACCGGCTTGAAACTGTTTACCAATCAACACCAGAAACCCCACAATTATGCTTCTGGATAGATGCTGCAAATCACTAACATTTTACGGTTCTCATATCCCAAAACCGAAAAGGCTAATTCCGATTCTTTTTCCATTCTCTCATTTTCCTGCATTTTCTCAGCAACCAAACACTGCCTAACGGCATTCCAAAAACTACACAAAAACAATTTGACATTTCTCAAGTTGCACAATCCCAATTTTGCCCAAATGAGAAATCAGATGAATTTTCGATAGAAAATGACGAAACAGAGAGAGATACTTATATGCTAGAACGGCAAAGATGATGGCCCAAGGTTTGTACAGGGGAAACGACGACGTATTGTGGTTCTCTGACTCGCTAGGGTTTCGAAGTGTGAAGAGTGGGGAAGGTGTGCACAGAGAGACTTCCAGTTCCTACTTCCTAGAGGTTTATGGCGCGCTTGATTTCCTCAATTTTACGGCAGAGGTGGTGATGGGGATGATGATGTTGGTCACGACTCGCAACAGCGCTGTGAGAGTGGTGAGGTGAGCACTGTGAGTCGGAGTCGAGGGAAGGGATAGGGAGAGGGATAGGGAGAGGGACTCAGGGAGATGGAGTCGAGGGAGAGTCTGAGTCTCTGAGAATCTGAGAGACTAAGGTCTGAGGCTGCTGAGGCTGATGATGCTTCTGGAACTTGGGACTCGGGGAAGGTTGGTTGGCTAGGGTTGAAAGTTGAAAACTTGAACTGACGGTTAAGATTGGATGGAGAGATGATATTAAATCTCGTCCGTCCAATCTAACACAAACTAGCCGATCCGGGTACCTGCGAATCCTATAATTTTGGAACCGGCCCGCCCCGCCCCGATCTATTTTTACAAAACTAAGAACCGGCCAGTACCCGCCCCGTACCCGTATTACCCGCCCCTACCCACGGGTCCAAGACCCGTTTGCCCAGCCCTAATCAGAATACCCAATATATTGTTGGAAATATGCCCTAAAACCAATCATATGATGATACTTTACGGACATTTCACATGTTAAACTAATCTAGTTTAATATAAAGGGCAAAAATTATTGTTTTAAGTCATCTCATATAAATGTTATATACTTAAATGATAAGTCCAAGGAATATGTAATTGGGAGAATGTGATATAAAGAAGTTAGATTCATGAGACCATTCTCTTTCGTATACATATCTTAAACGTTCCTGATCATAGGATTGCCAATTGGGCATTGACGGTCCATTAAGATCATTATGTACTATGTCTTCTCTTAAGGAGAGTGACTGGTCTTGAGTCATTGGTGTGACTGACACCAAGACAAGCATGTAGGTGCTCAATAGAGAATGAGTCCACTGAACACGATCAACAAGGAGTTCTCATACTCATGTCACATGAGAACTCATGGTTAGGATAATGCAAAGTAGTCATTTGACCTGAGGCATCATAGTTGTCTTATGGTTAGGTCTTTGATCTTTAACTATGTCAAAGTCACTCCGTCATGGGGTGTCCACAGTGTAGTTGGGCTTAAGTCACTTAGCCTTGGAGGCAAGTGAATGCGCAACAAGGGATCTCTGACCTTCAAACCGTTTGAGGGAGAATACTCTATAATATGATTAAAAATCTCTGGCCAGAGTATGAATGAGATTTAGGAAGTCGTTCCAAATCACATTCAAGGTAATCATATAAGTAAGAGAATCACATTGGATAGTAGACATAAATAAACTATCAAACCAAACAATGTGGTCAAGAGTATTGTATTAGAGAAAGACTGTATTGCATTTCAATCCTAAATTGAATATGTTCTCCACCTATTCTGATTAGCTTGGGTAGCCATGATATACTGCTAGGTGTCACTCATGGTTTGTGGAAGCCCTAAAGGTGTGTAATCACTAAAGAGAGAATTGAAAGTAAGTTTCAATTCACAATCGATTTGAAGAGTTCTAATTGTCCACTGCCTCGCTAAAAGGAACCTAATAGATCGTATACCGTGTAAGGTAGAGATTGAAGAAATAACGGAGATGAGTAAGGATAATTAAATGGTTTAATTATTTATGGTTAGGATGAATTAATATGTTAATTAATCAAACGAATAAGTTCGTTTTAGACCTTGGGTTAGTTTTGGGCCTTCAAGGCCCAATGGGCTTCGAATGTCAAGCCCATTGACTTAAGTTGTATGAAAACTTAATGAATAAAGATTCAAGAGGGCCCAAAGACCATAGAAGGCCGGCCATATTGATGAAATAGGGTTTTGGTTCTTTTTGTCACTTAAGTGAAGTGACTATATAAAGAACTTTATAACCAAAATTCATTAAGGGTTCTTTTAGAGGAAATTGGATAGAACAAGTCTCTCCCTTTCTCTCTAGGAGGCCGGCCCCTTGGAGAAGATTAGCTAGCAATCTTCCCTCCTCCAAGGTTACTTATCTCTTCTTCCAGGCTCTCCTTGGTGTGGAGACTTAGAGGTTCTCTATTTTGGGAACTTGAAGAATCCATTATACCATCCTCATCCAAGAAATCCATGGAGCTAAGAAGTACGGAATGAATGTCCTATCTCTTTGGTGATTAGCCTTTGCTTATGCAAAGAGGAATCAACAAAGGTATAATATTTCTCAACTCACTTTGTTCTTGAGTTGAGTCTTGATTCACCACACTCACTAGGATTTGAATTTCATGGGTAAAGTTTTGTTTTTGAGTGCATACAAGCATGATTCCGCATTTAATTGTTAATTGCATGTTGTAGATGTTGCTCAAATGAACTTGTTGTTACAAATATTTCCTTCATATATCACATAGGTGGTTACCGATTGTCGTGGGAACATTTGCTCTGAGATAGACGATGGACCCTAAAGGTTTATTTGTTGCCCCGAAGCCTCACAGTAGGCGTTGAGGATTTTGGTGATGTTTTGGGCATTTTTTTGGGGGGAGGGTGTGGGAGGGTAGCTTGTAGGAAAATAAGGGTGTCAACCTCGAATAACAGGTGCGAAATACTAGGGCACTGCTGATTAAATTGTATGTTTTTAATAGAACCCTCTTACACCGCTCGTATATTCCTAGAAAGGACATCATTGATGATGAGAAACAGGTATGGTGATAGTGGGTCACCCTGCCGAAGGCCCCTAGAAGGGGAGAAATGCCTACCCGGCTGACCGCTAACAAGAACTGCAAAGTCCACTGTAGAGACACATGTCATCTTAAGAGAAATCCATTGGTCATTGAAACCCATTTTTCGCATGACAGCCTCCAAAAATTCTCATTCTACACGGTCATAAGCCTTACACATATCAAGTTTGATGGCAAATTCGAACTTTCATTTTTCCTTCCTCAATTTCAGGAAGTGGAAAATCTCATGTGCCACCATAATGTTGTCCTAGATTTGGCGTCCAGCCACAAAAGCATTATGCATTGCAGAAATAATGCTAGAGAGTAATGGTTTGAGGCGATTTGCAAGGATTTTTAAGAGGATTTTGTATGAATAGTTATAGAGGCTTATGGGTCGGAATTGGCCCACCGAACCGGGTTAGGCGATTTTGGCACCAAAATAATGTGTATAGAATTAAGCTTTTTTGGGCTTGCAACCCCCGAGAAGAAATCAGCAGCCTGCCCCAAAACCTCTTTGTAAATAGTCTCCCATGCGAATGAAAAAATACCTTTGGAACCCATCCGGGCCCGGGGCTTTAAGCCCACCCATTTGGAAGACCGCCTCCCAGATTTCAAGCTCAGAGATTGGCATTCATTTCCTCATCCACCGAGCATACAATATCATCCACTACAGAACCCCAATTCCGCGGTCATTGGGAAGTGAATTGTTTGATAAAGTGGTCATCAATAGCGGATCGGACCCGTGAGGGATTATCCGTCCAGCACGCATTAAAATTGATTTGTTCCAGTTCCTCCCTCACTCCATCCTTCCTGATCACGCTCGACATCGTTCCAATTTAATTTCCTTTCCCTAGAACCTAGAACCTAGAACCTTGAACCTTGGTTTAGGTTTCAGTTTCCACCCTGAATCCGACGACTTCGGCAACGCCCTGCATGCATCGAGGTTGGTCTCAAACAATTCCTCATCATCTCAAGTACTTTCTAGACCTATTCATGCCAAACTCTTCTTCAAATTTGTGATTTAATATAACGGAGTTTTAGTAAATTTTTCACGGTTTTGTCGAATTTCACGTTTAAATTTCTGGGTTGTGAAGAATTCTTCTTTTGATGTCATTTTATTTGAGCATTGTTGAGCAATCTGGATAGCGTCATTTTGATGAAATTTCGCATTTACTAAGACGTACTCCTGGGGATTCAGTTGGATTTAGAAAATTATTGTCATTCGAATTTGTTTTACATCTGATTCAGTTGGATTTAGGGGTTGTGTATTAGTGTTTCCTGGCCCGAGTTGGTCCTCGTCCTCCTCTCATCCTCCTCTCATCTTCTGCTCTGTTCTGTCTCCTAGTTTGTATGGCTTTTCAAATCCTCAAACGCACTCTTTCTTCAGCAAGAAAACCCAAACCCCTCTCTGTCTCCCGTTTCTCCTCCTCTTCTCCACCGTCCGATCAAGCTCCATCACAAACCAGCCCCCTAATCTCCGACGTCGTTTCCATCCTAACCCACCAGCGCTCCAAATCCCGATGGAGCTACCTTCACTCTCTCTACCCCAACGGCTTCAACCCGGACGACTTTTCCAAGATTGCCCTCCACATCAAAAACAATCCCCGTCTTGTCCTCGCCTTCTTCCTCTGGACCCAACGCAAGTCCCTCTGCAACCACAACCTCCTCTCTCACTCCACCGTAATCCACATCCTCGCCCGAGCCCGGCTCAGGTCCCAAGCTTACGACCTTATTCGAGCCGCCATTCGGGTATCCGACGAATCTGAGCCTTTGAAAGTGTTTGAGAGTCTTGTCAAGACCTATAGGCAATGTGGGTCGGCGCCCTTTGTGTTTGATTTGCTGGTCAAAGCTTGCTTGGAGTCGAAGAAAATCGACCCATCAATCCAGATTGTGAGAATGTTGCTGTCTCGTGGGATCAGCCCCGGATTGAGCATCTGCAATGCTCTGATTCGGCTTCTTTCGCAGCGTCGAGGTGCGTATGCTGGTTATGAGATTTATAGGGAGATTTTTGGATTGGATTGTGATGTTTTAGATAAAAAGGTGAAAAGGGTTGCTAGAATCAGCCCGAGTGTGCAAACTTTCAATGCATTGATGTTGGGTTTTTATCAGGATGGTGTGGTGGAGAAGGTGAAGGAGATTTGGGATCAAATGGCGGGTTTGAATTGCTGTCCAAATGGCTATAGTTATAGTATTTTGATGGCTGCTTATTGTGAGGAAGATAGAATGAGTGAAGCAGAGGAGTTGTGGGAAGAAATGAGAGCTAAGAGTGTGGTGCCTGATGTTGTTGCTTATAACACTATGATTGGTGGGTTTTGCAAAATCGGAGAAATTGAAATGGCTGAAGAGTTTTTCAAAGAAATGGGATTGAGTGGAGTAGAGAGTACTTGTGCTACGTATGATCATCTTATTATTGGGTACTGTAAAACAGGAAACATTGATTCTGCTATGCTCTTATATAAGGACATGCTTAGGAAAGATTTCAGGCCCGAGTGTTCAACAATGGATGCATTGATTCAGGGGCTTTGTGATGAGAGTAGGGTTTTAGAAGCATTGAATGTTATGAGAGGTGCAACGGTAGATTTTGGTTTTTGTTCGACCGAGAAGAGTTATGAGACTCTGATAAGAGGGTTGTGTGAGGATGAGAAGTTGGAAGAAGCACTTAAGCTTCAGGCCGAGATGGTGGGAAAAGGGTTTAAACCGAATTCTGAGGTCTATCATGCGTTCATTAGTGCGTATATGAAACAAGGGAACAAGGAAGTAGCAGAACGGTTGAAGATAGAAATGTTGGATGCTCAGATGTGTGGGAATGGGGATTAGATGATTTATCAATTTTAAAAGTGCAAAACATTTTTCGGTACACAGTTGAAAACACATGAACATACTGCTGAAGGCGTACTCAGCAAGGTCGATGGATGTCGACTGGGACAATAGGGGGAGGTTTGTAATGAATATGCGTTTGGAAGAAGGACCAACAGTATATGTTTTCAATTATCAAAATACTAAATCATGGATAAAGTTAACAAGATTGCATGAGAGACTGAGTCTTGCCTTGAATTCCCAACACTGATACTCTCTCTTGAAGAGCTTGCGCTGGAAGGCTCTGCCTGTTGTCAAAAACCTAAGGATGGCTGCATTTATTCCAAAAATGTGCTTATTCTAAGATGGCTGTGTAGCCTGATAGAGGGATATTGGGAAGCACTGAAAACGAGACCAAGATCTTGGTGAATCCTCACAAAATCTTACAAAGAAAGAGTTCCCGAAGTTATGTCTAGATAGCAGGAAGGGTTTCCATAGATACTGGAGTGCTTAAAATAATGGGGAAAGCCAAGGCAGGTCTTGCTGCTTGCAAGGGTGATGAACTGAACATGATAATCGCTTTGTGCAGCCAGCATACCAGGTTCTTATATTCTGCTCATGAGCTGAGGTAGATTGGTCATACCAGGTTCTTATATTCTGCTAATGAGCTGAGGCAGATGGGTTAAATTTTTGGAGTGTGAAGTCTGGTTCAGTTAATATCAACTAAACCTGAAATCCTTTACCTGTATCTGTAATTTATTATCCAAAGCAATACAAGCCGTCTCCCGGGTATACCGGATGAAGAAAAGCACTGTTGAGTTGTAAAGTTTTCAATTTGTATGGCATGTATTCAGCTTTTGTCAAGTAGGAAAGACCAGTAAATGTATGCTTATTTTGTTTCTAAGTTGCCAGAAATGGATGATGCTTTACTCTTGCTGTAAAACGATTGGTCATCAAGCTGTTGAGCGTTTAAACATTGAATGAAACTTTTATTCATGATTTACAATTGCTTGTGTATGATTTGAACACTATCAAATACAAGCCTATGGTTTCAAATAGTTTTGAGTCCGATGTTCACAAATGTCTGCAGAAGTCGAAGACAAGCTGTATTCATGTGAGAAGTCACAAGGACGGAAGTAACCAAAGATTGAAAAAAGACGAAGCCAAAGACAGAAACCATGACATGAAGGCCATCGCAGCCGATATTTTATATCGGCTGCAAAACTTTGGAGGGCAGTATGGACCGTTAGCATGGAGCATGATATCCACAACGCTAGTCGTTGAGCAAGCTGCAGCTAGAGTGAGAATGGATAATACCTGTTGAGAAAAATGTTGAATCAGTTACAAAAAGTTGGTGGTTGTGAGTGAGTCTGCAGTCCGCAAAGGGTGTACATGTATCAGAATGGTGCTTACTGCTTAGTCTGCTTACCCAATCTCCAACAACGATGATCAGCAGTATTCCAGGCTGACGAAGAGGGCACTTCACGAGCACAGAGTAACCATCCACCAATGCCAAAGTGAAACTCCAAGGTATGACCAGACCCATGACTGTTACCAAATAGCTGCAATGTAAAACACGGGAGCAATGTTAAATGTTGAGCACTGCATTATTCGAGTTTGACAGAAAACACAGGATTAAAAGGAATCCATCGTATTCGTTTAATTGGTTTTTTTTTTCTTTCAGGCTTGTTGCCCATTAATAAAATTGTTATTTAGCATTTCATTGGTTCATTGACCAATTTGATAACTAGTGGCAGATTTACATTGGGATTAAGGAGGTCCCAGGATCACGCAGAGTTTGGGAAATATACTTCCAAGGACCTTCTAAATATTTGGTACAGGTCCCTTTTGTGTGTACCAATTTTTTGATGTTATGCATGCTAGGTATATATCTCGACAGGTTGCGTCAACGGCAATCGATAAATTCTCTCGATATCACTCATCAAATTGCTTTAGCATATGTCGATATCTGTTGACACTAGTACTTTAACATTAGGACCCCCTAAAATTCGAATTCTGGTTCCGCCACTATTGACAACCAAAACAACTTAGTTTTATATGAATAAAAAATTTCTGACTTGATAACACTTGCAGAGTCAGGGGTCTAAAGCCTTCCATTGTAACCCAAAACAAAAAATGGATGCATTTCCCTGGTTGGCTAAAATGTTCTGGCACAAGAAAAAATTGATCAGATAAAGAATTAGGGGTCTTAAAATTGGGTAAATCACAAATCAATCTATTTTCCAGTTTCCAGGTTGAATCGTAAAATTGGGTTTCACTGTACTATAAGCAACTTCCATTAACATTCATGCTTCATGAGACATGCATGAGACAAAATCAATCATCCAAATAATGAAATTATTTTTTGTTCCACCATTTTCCAACCAAATTCTAAATAAAAAGTCCAAAAAAGAGAAACCGTAAAACAATGAGGCAAATAAATTATGAAAAAATTTTAAAAAAATATATAAAAAAAAAAAAGTTACCAGAAAGCAGTGTAGCTGTAGAACTCCACACCCAAAGACATGAAGAGAAGAGAAGCAGAGGAAAAGATGGCCTGACCCAATCTCAATGAGAAGCTGGCACTCGTCCCTACTGATCCAGGTACCTCATCCATGGCCAGCCCTTTTTGCATATCTAGGGTTCATCTTAATCATTTACATCATCCACCATTCCTAACATCGCTCCCTCTCATATCCTCTAAGCGAAAACCGAAAACTAAAAAAACTAAAACTAAAAGCTGAAATGGTTATCAAACTGCTCTGCAGTTTCGGAAATGTTATCATTTTCTTACTCTTGTTCATGGAATCTGGATTGCTTCTCTTCTCTCCATTTTGCACTGTAACAGTATATTGGCAAATTCTCAGGTGGGTGTTTGGACTCGTGGAAAGTTTTGTAGTTAATGGTGATTGAAGAACAAGTGTGTTGGATTTGGACAGCTGACCTGACTTTTTCTTGGGTGGCATCGTCTCAATGGACGAAACTGATTGGAGAAAAGGTGTCTGAGAATGCTGTAGCTGTAAGTGTAAGATGCTTTTATACTCCTTTTTTACGCACTCTTGTAGTAAAGTTTGTTCCATGAGAAAGAATAAGAATAATATTAGTATAGGGTTTGGGATTTTTCTCGAATTCCATTGTTTTATTGCAATTATTGGCGTTAGATCGACCGGATTCACTCTTATTTATAAACGGTGTCAAGAAAATGACCAACATCAACATGTATGTTTGAAAGCAGAGATTCGAACCGAATACCTCTTACTTCCAAGTGAAGTGAAGAATAATATCATTAAACCATGAAAGGCTATTGTGCAAACTCTTTACCTACAAGTTTGGATTTTCTCAAAAAAAAAATTCAGTTGGTCGTATCCAGCCTATTTTTAAAAATAAACATCTCGCACACACTCTCTTCCCAAAAAAAAAAATTAAATAAATCAACACACCAAGCACTATGTTTAAATTTATTAGATTAGTTGCTAAAATAACGGTATTAAACCCGAAACTCCGGCAGATGGCCAATAACCCAAGAAAATAAAAGAATTGGTTACATTTTTCATATGATATAGATGGACTAATTATTTTATTTGTATTATCACGTATTGTAAGAGATATATATATATATATATATATATATATATATATATATATATATATATTAAAAAATTAGATTTTAATTCTTAAATAAGATAAAATTTAAACTATATTTGATAAAATGTTAAGACAGATTCTATTTAAAGTCTTTTTTTTTCTTTCTATTTTTTGTTCTTCATCCTTTTGACAAAAGTGGCGGCAAAGTGGTGGGGCTGTTGGGTCGGCTTCTAAGGCCATCTCCAACCGAGGGCTGGCCAGAGGGCTCGTTTGAGCCATCTGGCCCTCCAAGATTCCCCAAGATATTAATATTTTAATGAAGCCATATTTACCTCCGTCTCCAACCGAGGGCCAGAGGGCCAGAGGGCCAAAGGGCTCGTTTTAGCCCTGTCACAAAAAACCGTCTCCAACCGAGGGCCAAATGACCATAGGGCCAAACATAATTTATTATTTAAAAACTACAATTTAATGTTGTATAAATGGCCTAGGAAGTTATACGAAAAAAATAGAATTGAAAAAAAATATGAAACAAATTTTGTAAAATAGAAGTTATAGGAAAAAAAATATGAAAAAAAAATTGATTCATATGAAAAGGAAAAAAAAAGGGAAAAAAAGAAGTTTAAATTCATTAAAAAAAAAAAAAAAAAAAAGAGGCCTAATAATCCAACGGCTACTAGCCGTTACATTCAAAAACATTTCAAACTATTAGTGTCGGTTATAACCGACACTAATAGTAGAACTATTTAAAAAAAAAAGCTCTTTAATTCTGTCGGTTTTAACCGACAGCAATAGGAAACATTAAAAAAAAAATAGCCAGCCACCGAAAGCAGCCAGCCCTCCAGCCCTCTCCGATCCCGTGGGGCCCTCCCATATTCCAGAGCCCTCTGGCCTAGCCCTCGGTTGGAGACGGTTTTAGGGCTATTTTCGGCCCTCTGGCCCTCTGGACCCTTCGGTTGGAAATGGCCTAAATGGCAAACTATTTACGGATTATTTTGTTCAAAAAAATAAATACTTTAGAGCATCTTCAATGTTTAGGACTCCTACCATACCTTTGAGGCTTTGAGTACTTATTTAAGGACTTAAAGGGAATCTTTGTGTCTCTAAATGAATATTGTCTCCAATAGGAAAGTCCTTATAGTAGAATTCCTAAATTTAAGGTTTTTACAATTTTATGTGATAATTTGACTAAGTACATATTTTTTGTTTATGTTAACATTACGTTCTCGTAAAATATTTTTGTGAACATTTTAACCAAAAAACATTCAAATTCTTACACTAATTTTTTTCTTCACAAAAACATAACTAGAAAGAGTGAACTGAGTATAGGAGATGAAATTGTGGTAAGTTTTGGTTAGAAAATTTGGAATTTATAGGAATGATGAGAGAACAAGATGAAAAGTAACCCAAATTGAAAATATTAATATTTCAATGGGGGCATTATGACAAGAGAAAAAAAAAGAATTTGAAAACCAACATGAAAGAGTAACCTAAATTGAAACGGTTATTTAATTGGAACCATTGATCTTTCGATGGTAATAAATTTTGAAAAGTAAGAATCAATCTAGACCCTCCATTTTAAACGGTCGAAAAGAATAAAAAAAGACAAGGCCATGTGACTAGGACCCACACCTACTTTTCCACTTAAATTGTCATATTGGATTCATCATTTTCAGTCCCTATAGAGCCCCTTATATGTGGATACATAAACCAAATATCCGGCGAGTCCCTATACTTTGGAGACTCACTTTCCGAATCATTGGAGATTTATTTTGTCTTTATATTTATTTTATACTCATTTTACGATGGTTGTCCCTATATAGGGACTCCACTGGAGATGCTCTTGGTTAAATTATTAGTCAAGAAAAAGGTGACAAGAAGGTGAGGTTGCCATTGCTTTAGAAGGAAGGGTTATGAATTTGCCACTTGTGATGCTCTCAATGAATCCCAAGTTAGGGGAATTTCAGGTGGTCAAACATGTAAATTTCCTAAGAAATTCGTATCATAATTTTCCATGGTTTTGATTTTGGAGGTTAATTTTTGGATTGTGATCTGTGAGGATCGTGTTCGAGATGCAAAAAATCATTTATCTCTGCTTCGGATGCTAGTCTTGTACTGTTACATCATATTCCAAACTGACGAAGAATGCATCTTACAAAGAGCAGAAGCTGCAGAACATAGGAAGAAGATTACATATTGATCACTGCATTATTATAGATTGTGAGAAAACACATGATTATTAATTTGTAAGATCGAAACTATACAATTGGTTCACTTGGTTTTCTGGATTAAACAAATTTCTCCAAATATAAAAACGCGTCATTTATGAGAGTTGAACTTGAGACATTTTTCTTACAAATAAATATGAGTATTATTAGACCGTAGTTTGTGACACTTTTAAGGTATGTTAGAAGTGAGAGACTTTCAGATACTTAAGCGTTTAGATGGAAAAGAAATAGATGACAAAAGGTCAGATAGTAGAACTTAGAAAAGGCACTACATGAGCTTTACAATTGTATGCGTGCAAGAGAAATTTGTAAATGATTCATTCTAAGTAGTCATTTACAAATCTCACTCACATGCATATTGTAAAGGAAGTAATTTTCAACACCCTATTTAGCCTCTTACACACCCATGTTGAATTATATCCATTGATTATCATTTAATTTATTCAATTCGACGGTCATAAATAAAGAAAAATACGTGAGAAGCTAAAAAGTGTGTGAAAATCACTTTCCCTATTAAATCACTTCCCCGAGTGTAAACCCTTGTAGTTTATTATCAACAACAAATTTTAATAACAATTGAGCCATTGGTTAGCAGAATGCATATGGATTCGGTCCTCCAATCCACATAACCCTTTTTAAAGTTGTTAGGGTTTCTAACTGTTACGGTTAGGTCTCCTAGTTTTTAGGGTTTGTTTTAAGTAATGGCCTAATAATCCCTATTCTTGAGGTTTTGTTGCACTTTCTGTTTTAAACTTAGTCGAATACCACGATTTTAGGGTTGTTAATCGTGGGTTGTTATTCCTTCGTTCAGTTTCATTGTAAGGCTATTTAAAAGCTATTGTTACTTTCTAATCCAATAAGAAAGGTTCTCCCAAGCATCTGGGTGCATTATCAAACTTTACGAGATTTATTTGTAATTCTTTCTAGTTCTAACATTTGGTATCAAAGCCCCATCATGAGGCCTGATCAAAAGTCTAAATATTGTCACTAGTTCAGTGTGAAGTAGCAACGACATGGCTGCTTAAAGCAGTTTTCATGCAACCTGCAATCCCAAAGTTTGATGGACACTACGATCACTAGAGCATGCTCATGGAGAATTTCTTAAGTTCCAATGAATATTGGA